CATTCATTGCAATGCATCACCGAAGTATTACCTTGCACGACTGGCTTTCCATTACTTATGAAATCGAACTTTTCCGACACACAGCACAATGCAACGCTTTGAACTGTTTCGATCTGAAAGTATGTTGCCATGAATCAGTGTAGATGACAGGTAATAATTCTTGTTCATCGACCGTTAAAACAATGGCCAAAAATCTGATCCAAAAAAACATAAGGAGGATTTCGAAAGGCAATGAATGAAGAGAATGAGCTTCTTTAGAGAAGCTTATGAATGCTAGATTTCCATTCACTAATGGCGCCACTATTTGCAATAGTTCCTTGGCCGCAATAAACAGAGAAACTAAGGGTTTGCTGTGGAGGAGATAAAATACAATGGGTATCAAATGCCAAACGGTCAGCTGACGAGGCAAGCCAACAACAAAGACAGATTTTGATTATCTACGATAAGCGGCATCATGCACTAATCTGCATTAAACATTCCGGCCTTGCGCGGTTCTTATGAGAAAAATGAACTTCAGTTGTGTCCTGCATATCATACCACATGTTTCATCCTGTTATGTGGAGACATATTGACCTCCATATCGGTTTCAATCCGAGGTTATCATTGAGTCTTTACGGCAAATCCGACTCGAAATATTATAAAGACACTATCAGAAGGTTCGAGATCAAAGCTGCTCTTTGTACTTATTTCTGCAGAGATCATGATTACAGCTCTTTGTTATTCTGTCAACGACAAAAAAACAAGATGGTGAGTGTAGGAATGAACGTACATAGCACCCATGCAAACTGAAACTTAGTAAACGTAAAAGTGCATACTATTGGTCACTGGATGAAGTACCTTAGCAACCCTACTGAAGTAGTTTCAAGTTGTTGTTAACCCAGAAGACATAAATGAGAATGTTACAAGGGGAAGCATATCCGATCCAATCCCTCGTGATCAGACATGCATTTTGATAAACAGCTATTCGACTCAAAATAACACTGTCTGTTGAGGATTTAAATGACATGATGCAATCGTATTTCCTTTTATAATAAATGGACAG